GAGCTTTGCAACCAGCCTGGAGGGAACCATAGTGTTAAACACTGAACGGTAGTCAATGAGAAGCAATCTCACATAGTATACTTTCTTGTCCAGGTGACAGGGTGGTGTGGAGGATGTGTGCTATGGCATCTTCCGTTGATCAGTTTGGACTATAGGCAAACTGTAGTGGGCCCAATGTGCTGCTTGGGTAGCGAGGAGCAGATCCCTGACCAGCCTATGGCACTTCATCATTACAAAGGTGAGCGCCACTGGGCAGGCAGGCTAGTCTTTCTTTTTTGGGCACAGGAATGGTGGTGGACTTCATGAAGCACATGGGTGTGACAGCCTGAGCCTGGAACAACGAGCTTTAGAGTTGCTGGTAGCCTGACTTTGAGCTGACTGCATGACTGTGGGGATGGCATTGTCAGTCAGTTGTTCACTTCACAACTATTGCATGAATTGTTTTATTAGTGGTTATATTAGTATTTTACTTTTCATGTGATGCATCATTAGGTTAAAATTTTAATTTGCCCAGTACTTTTTGTTACCACTTACGGATATTCCCATGAACCTCAGCTGTAGCCTACCTGTGTGTAGTGCTAATTACAAAATGCTAACATGATTAACATGGTGCCATTAGCATGTTAGACTCATATGGTAAGCATGTGGCCATGTTAGCGTTAGCATTTAGCTCAAAGTACAGCCTTAGAGACAATAGTGGCAGAAGTAGAAGAAGAAGAAGAAGATATAGCCTACTTTCTTAACCCCAGGGGGGAAATTCAATTTTTTCACTCTGCTGTCATATACACACAGGCCTGAAATATACACACACATGCACAAATGGAGAGATGTCAGAGTGAGGGGACTGCCTAGGAAAGGCATCTCAAGGGAGGCAAACTCGCACCTCTCCAGCTACCAGTTCACGCTCCATATTTGGTCTGAACAGAGACTTGAGCCGACAACCCTCTGGTTCCCAACCCAAGTCCCTATGGACTACTGCCACCCTAGAGCTACTGCCACCCTATCAGACTGTCTGTCTTGTTTTACCCCATTGTACAAAGCAAGGTTAGCTGTTTTCCCCGTTTCCAGTCTTTATTCAAAGCTAATATCCTAGTTTACAAACTTTATATTTATTTGACAGTTATGAGTGATATTGATCATCTCATATTACAAAAAGCTAATAAGATTACTCCCTTGAATGTCACATTACTCTTCAAAAGAAGGTTTCATGTCCTTTTGTTTAGTCTGCAGCATTTAGCCATTTCAGGAAATACAGGAACTTAATTTTCTTTCTTCTGCAATTTATATTTCTTGTCATAATCATAGTAAGAAAAGAAGAACTGGATATTTAGCATAAGTGGTGATTATAACTGTGACTGAAGAAAATGAAAAGAGCACCAACTTCAGAAAAACAAACCATCAACCAGAAATCCAAAGGAACAGTGTCACAATACTGGACGAACTCCCTCTCTTCAAAGACACTACTGAACTGAAAGTTTTAGAAGAGGTTCAAAAAGCCGAAAAGCAGAGGCATGATGTCCTCATTTATCAAAACAACTTTTAATTTAACAACAGAAAACTTCTTTCAATAACAGCTTAGATTGGAGGAATGCCTCAGTGTCAGTGCTCAAGATTTGAATGCCTCCATCATCATTAACAGCATGCCAGGAGCTAATGGAAACCTCATTTGCATTTGGATGCATGCAATGATCCATCGTCACGAGAGCAGTTAAAAAAGTGTCATCTTTTTCTTTTTTTTTTAGCTTTTTCAAATGTAAAAATAAAGACAGAAAACAGGAGAAGAGATGTGATGAGACAAGACCAAAATTCAGAGGAGAGAGTCATTCACATCAAAGCAACAGCTGGCAGAACTTGAGACTGTACCAGCAGAATTCATACAGCATTATTTGTCATCCTATTTCCTCTCCCATCTCGTCCCTTTCCCTTCTCCTCTCCCCAAACAAACGCACGACAGCGGCAACAAAAGCTGATCTATTTTCTCCCCATGCTTTCATTTCCCATAATTTCCATCCTGACAGAAACAGACATGCAAGAACACACCCAGAGACACACACTTATTCATCATCAAGGGGTCACTATTGAAGCAGAGGGGAAGCTACAGAGCTGGAATACACATGACAACGTCAACAACAGAGAGGCCAGATTCATTCCTTTTGAAATGTTAAAATAGTCATTTCAATATACACTGTACATCTGATGGATATTTTGTTATTTTTCCCCAAAAATGGAACAAAAATTCTCTTTACAAAAGCCATGATTGTCTATCTAGATATCCATTTTGGGTGGACTGTGCCCTAGGTGGAAACCTTACTACTTCCCTGTGTTTTCTGCACTGTATCTAATTGTTGGTTTGTTCCATTTTCAAAAAGCCCCATGAAAGAAAGTAAAGGTGACGTATAATCAAACAGCACATCTACCATATTGTATAAATGGTGTTGGTGGTGAAAGTTTCCCCTCCTCTGGTTACCTGTAGGTTCTTTGATGTGTGATAATGGATGTGAATCATCGACCGCTCACCCTCCCCCTCCATCTCCCCCACACACAGACATGAACACACACATTTTCCGATTACATTAATGGGGTCAGAGAAGGGACGAATGAGGTAACATTAACTGAAAAGGCTGGACATACTGAGTAGGTGGAAATTAGTTATTTTTTCTCCTGTGGGCTACAGGTTGTTCATGATGTTCAGTATTAGAGAAATTACACTTTTCACCTTTTAGGTATAACTTAAAATGGAAACAGCAAACTTTTTTAACGAAAATTGAACAATTCGTATGATACCTCTCAAATTAACTCCCTATAAATTAGTTTATGTACCAACATAAAGTAACATAGGTTAGGTTTAGGCAAGATTAGTTGGTGACAACCTACCTTAAGTGGACTCAAAGTTCACTCAGTGTCACACGGTTCTGAACACTGGTCTCCTGGGGAAAGTCCTGTGTTGTTTGGCCCATCCACCCCAACCTGCATCCTTATTCCATCTTAACTCCTGTCAGTGCAAGTGGTATTACTATTAGCGCCACTGTCACAAAGCACTGTATCCTTATACAACAGTGCATATGATATCTAACAAATTAGTTCCCCACAAATGATGTTACATACTTAACATAAAGTTACATGGGTTAGGTTTAGAAAAAGCAACATGGTGACGACGTATCTTAAAACAACTCAAAGCTCCCTTAGTTTCACATGGTTCCGAACAATGGTCTCCTGGGGGAATGTCCTGTGTTGTTTGACCCATCCACCATCCCAATCTGCTTTTTATGCAAAGTTTCAGTCTTTATACTTCTTCTTTCTTAAGTCCTGTCAGCACATTGGCCACATGATCACAGCCATCTCAGTTACATGGGTTATATACAAATTATGGTGCATTACTTTCCATAGGTTTACATACAAAGAGTGCATGACAACAGCCTGTGCAAAGACAACCAGGTTGCTTTCTGTTTTCCTCAGAGCCAAGCAACCACCACAGTTACTTTGGTTATCCCAATGTCCTCTACTGAGGATAGTAACAACACTGATACTCTTTTGCAGCTGGAGAGCTAATGATAGCTACAGGGGCAAAACAAAAGCACTACCCTCTTCCTGGTTTAGTTGTGCAATGGTTGACGCACTTCCTTTGTGTGGAGATCTTACCAAGAGGCAGACAGGTTTGCATAGTGTAAGCATGACTTGTAGAGAACCAATCTAAATATCAATGGTGTCACCAGTCTATAGCCATTGCATTGTGTAATCAACATTTACTTCATAATCTTAAATTAAAGGAAAAAGAAACATCTCCTTTCACTTTAATAGAGGATTCTTTTGAATGCATCAGTATTTTCACTCAGGCCCAAAAGTCAAGAGGATATCGACCTTATTAAACATTCATTTAGACATGCTCTTTGTAAAGTCTGACTCTGAAGAACTTGGCTGGATTGATTTATTCTTTGGGATGATAATTAGTCTTCTTTGTTGAGATCAAACCATTGACAAGAAAATACTGACATCCTCAACTGCTCACTTGCTCCATTTTAATTTGTTTTTAATGACTCGTGGCCAAAGGTTGTTGCCAGGTTGGGACAAGGGTTAATGGAGTGGGAGTCGTCTACGACGTGAGGCTGCTGTTAATGCTGCTGATAGAATGAATAACTGAAGCTGGATAGAAGTCATCAGGAGATTTTTCATGAAGAAGATTCAGCAGCACTGATAGTGAAAGTATATTCATATTTAGGGTCTCTGCATCTCAGCAGACACTTCTGACTATGAAATACAAGTTCTTAAGGGTAAAGACATTCCCACCTTAAAACAGTGGAGTAAATGGCTCAGACCATACAGGTGTTGAAATCTCCAATGGAATAACATTCAAATTAAATTTCTGAGTAGGACTTTGCTGTAGATTCCTATTGTTATCCTCCACTTGTAACCACCCAAAAGTATCTTTACATCATTGAATATATCTATATAATGTATAAAAAAAAAAAAAAAAAATACATTTATGAAAAATACACATTGCAGCATTCTGTGATTAATGTGCCAAAACCAGCATCCACTGTCTTATTATTTGTATTAATATTTCAGGTTAGTAACCCCACCTTACGTTACAATCTTTAGCTGCGTGTCTCCCTGTAGCCAACACCTTTGGTGCTATGTCAACACAGGGAGGTTTTTGTAAATTGTAAATCATTTTGTTATTTTGGTGTTTCCGTTCTCATCGTTCAACAGGAAAGTCGGACAGGTAACAAGAGAACCTAACAATTCCCACATTTTTTTGTATTATTTGAAGTATTAGTAACCCCAGGGAGAGTTTAGCTGTTTTGCTTAAATCTTAAACTATTATTTTTACACTTATTATTAGTATAAATATTTTGAGGAAATCCCTGTGAAAATTAATTTGAGCATATAACTCGCAAGAGTTTGAAGTCAAGTAATTTTTGTTTTGTGCGTGATCATGCATTTATCTAACATGGAGGTCTGTTGTACCTTTCCGTCTTTTCTCTTCCTCTTTTCGTTTCCAGGGATCTTTCCGAGGTGCTCTCTCTCCAGGCCCTCAGAAAGCCTCTGCGACTTCCCCACGTAAGCGCGGAGCAGAGAACGCTGTGGTCCATTTCTTCCGCACGATCGTAAGTAGCCTAATAGAAATAATACACTAGACCTCTAGATAATACACTAGGCCACATCTAGGAAAAAGGATTCTGCTTCAACAGTGTTGGCACTATCCCTCTTCTATTCTTCCAGCTTTTTGTCCATGTTTTGTCTTGTTGCTCCTCTGCTGCTTTCTCAAACTGTCAAATCTCTTTACTTTCTATGATTAATACTTCTCCAGGTGTCCCCTGCCCCTCCCAAGTCTAGGGTGAGTCTGCTTTATGTTGCTACTACTGAGGTTGAAATTTACACTTACATGTGAAATACAAAAATAGTCAACTAGTGTTTTTAATATTGACAGTTAATCAGAGACATGAGACAGCATTGAGATCACTAAAAATGTCCTTTCATATTCAGGAGGACAGGAACATATCCTGCTGCACACTAGAATTTGATCATAGCATTGCATTTGAATCAGTTTAGATAAAGGTCTTCCCTGTGACAAATTATTATTATATCAGAAGTGGATGACAGTAAGGAGACCATATATGAGTTTAGTAAATATTAAGTAGTGAGCCATTTGATTTGAAACCCATTCACTGCAAATTTGCAAACGCAAGATATATAAAATTTGCAAAAAAATAGTCCCATTTGGATAAAGTTAGATGAATGCAGTTTGAGAAAAAATTTAAACTCTTGACTGCCAGTGCATTTTCTACATCAGTGTCTACATGCTGCACAGATGTCCTTGGCTTTGTTGCTGCAGAATGTCACTAAATTTGTGCTCTTTCCAATGTGAGCATCTGCCTCGCTGCTCTCTCCTTCCCCCCACATATCTGCTCCTCTTCCCTCTGTTCCTCATCTGCTCCTGCCCCCCCGTGACCCTGTGATTTCCCTCCCTGGACGGACCCTCCTACCTGCCTCCTCTCCTTCCCATCCTGCCTTTGCGCTGAGTAAGACACACATTTCTATTTGTCCCCTCTCCCTTTTTACCTCATGTCTTTGTCTCTTATTTCCCTGCACATCCAGTGGAGAGGACTAGCAGCCAAGATAGGCCTGGTAGGTGGTTAAAAAAAGAAACTGCAAAAACAGGTAACGAGGTATCACGCCTAATTTAACCGAGGGGGCAAGTGAGGTCATCCTATTAAACAGCCTTCAAGTCTGACGCCTGTGGCTCTGTTTCCATTAAGTCTCCATCAACCACTTTAGCGGTCGTAATCTGTCCATACATCAGCGATAACGCCCTCATTTCCTTCCGACTTAAGTCCATTTTCAAATATATCATACCCATTTCGAGGCTGTGCAGCCTGACTTATCCATATCATGTGCGTACATTGTACATTCATGATAACCCAGGCATTATTCTGCTCTTCATTAGCCCTGTTTCATTTCAGAAATTCCTCTGTGGCTGGCTGCAGCGAGGCCACCTTCTGCTTGATTTGGCGACGTTATCAGCAATTAATTTAGGGCCCTCATGAATGTATGTGCAAGTGTGTGTGTGTGTGCACAAAGGAAACTCTTCCAAGGGACTGGATGAACATTACTTGAGCGGGACAAGGGATCAAAAAGGGAGGAGGGATATTAATTATTCTTTCGCCTGAAGGTGGATCTTTTAATTTTTTTATGTCCTGAACTTATATATTTTATTTCAGCCCTTCTTTGCAATGCTCAGTAGTTAATGGTGACATAAAGTATGTAATCATAAAAAAAACTACAACTTTCACTTGCACCATGGTTTATAAGGGTGCATTTCGCATATGCAAAGGACAACTGCTCCTTTGCTGGTAACGATGGTGGGTAGGGTTAAGGGTATTTGTCGTATGGGTAAAGGGAAAAAGTGAAAATAGGGTTCTTTCACCCCTCCAATAATTTTCATACAGTCCCTAAGTGTTTTTCCGAGGGAATGAACCTTAAAACTAGCTCACACATGCGTTTCATGCATATTTGTTCGGACATCAGTATCACCTGAAAGGATGAAGCTTACGACCATATATGGTGTTTCATCCAAGAGTCAAGCAGTGGTGTTTTGAGATGTTTCCAAAATCAAATACATCTGGTTCATTGCATCCAGTATGAGAAGAGAATAAATCAGCTCACAAAATACCATTAAAACACAACAGAAAACCACCACACTCTATAAGAAATGATTAGCTAAACTGATGTTCCCTTTTGGATTCAACAAAATATGCAAGCAGAAAATTTTTCCCTTTTAAAGCAAACTTAGCTGCTGTGTAGCTTTTTTGACTCATACATAATTCACACGAAATGCTCTGATGAAAGAAAACATCGCCAGAAATGCAACACACAAAGTAGGGCAAAATTGGATTTCACCATAATCGATGCTTAGTTTCCTCTGATGTTTTGGGCTTTTGTCAGGCACGCCAATCCATCGCTCACCAGAGAAGAAGGTCTTACGTATTCTCTAGTTACCTCTCCTCTCCAGCCTCTTTGAAATTTTAATCTGGGGCAATCTGTAGAAGGGTCAGCCACATCTTATCCCCCTGCCAAACACCAAAATTCTTCTAACACATTGACTCCTTTTCTGCCTCTGGCAGGGCACCCAGAAGTCACACTCTGCCAAAGCCAAGAAGGCCAGTGCAGGGGACGGCAAAGGCACCCTGACTAGGATCTTCAAAATGGTAAAAACTGCTTGTCAGACACTTTCCGAGTTTTTTCCCTATTGGCTTCTCTATACTCTTTTTTCTCTTTCCCGGAAGCAAAATCGTTTAGATAGGGGAATATTTCCCTTATGACTTTCTTACCCTGTTTTTTTTCCTGCCTCAGTGATGATATCAGCAGCAGAGTGAGTAACTGATTCGTGATGGAGGGATACTTGAGTTTAACTCACTCCGCATTTGTTCAGCATTGATATGCTTAGAAGACATCCTAATCTCATTACTACTGCAGCAGCAGCAGCAGAATAATAAGAGGCTTTTAGAGACAAGATTGACCATCTTGCATGCTACAAGCTTTATACCAGTGCTGATATAATCATGCTGAAGATGGTAGATCCAGTTCTGATAAGGGTCCAGGGGGGCTGTAGCTAACATACTGCAACTGCTTTACAGGGAGGGAATCACTTGCCAAGCTCCATTGGCTCCTTCGGGTGCTTTGCAGGACTCAGTGCGCACAGATATTATAAAACTGATATTTAGGCACACAGTATACAGTACCTGAAAAAAACTATCATTCAATGACCTTTAATGGATAATGTCTATTATTAACATTATGTAAAAAATATTGTTATTGTTATTGTTATAAGTTCTTGCTACAATTTAATAGTTTGTATAATAAAACATTTACTGCGTGATTGTACATATTAATACAAATCATATGAAAGCGCTTTACATTGTTTACAATATCCTGTTATTGATATTTATTCATTATAAATGATATTTAAAGCTGCTGTAATCAATAATTCCATAATACACCCACTTCCTGAGTGTTATTACTTGATTGAATGGGCGTTATCAGTAGTTATCAGCCTCATAGATAACCCATGGGTTAGAAGGGTTATTGCAGCCCATTTAATGGAACATTAGGTGATGTAGTGTAAAGAGCAACTACATCCATGTAAATAGGTAGTCCGGGGTGGTGGGTGGGTCAAATAAATATAGGATTTTCACCCAGAAGACTGCTATTTGTGTCCTGTCTGAAACCAAAAGTCAGTATTGACTTATTTAACTTGTTAGTTTGTCACGTTACCTTACATCACTTTTTGTTACACAACAAATGTAACAACAAACACAGGACTTCACCCAGGAGACTGCTGTTTGTGCCCCATGTGAGACAAATATCAAAATAAATAAATATTTAAACTGCATTACACAGGTTCGTCACATAACGTTACATCACGGCACTTTTACATAACACAGGAGGTTAATTGTGTCCTGTGTGAAACCAAACGTCAACACTGACTTCTTTTAATTGGCATAGGCCTACATAAGCTTCATTATGTCACGTTTTGTGACAAAAATACCTATTTTAATGCAAACTATGATTTTTTTTTCTAAACCTAACCATGTAGTTTTGGCACCTAAACCAACAGACAATGTAGTGGTCTCCTTCTATGAGGCTGATAACCACCGATAACACCCATTCAGTCGAGAGCTGACATTCTAAAGGGGCGCATAATAGCAATTACTCTAATGACTATGTGTAATGTAAAAGGTATCACCTGTAGTGACAAATATACAGACAATTATCAACTATATCTACAGTTCCTCTCAGCTCTACGGAGCATTTTAGCATCTTTCGGCTCAATGGTTTAGTGGTTCAGCCCAGCATCAAATGGACATAGTGAACCATTTAGCAGCTAAAGTTACAGATATTTTCTAACTTGGTGGAGACCAAAACAGAACAAAAAATATAACAATTAATGAATATTGGACTTACATTCACCAGGTGTCAAGAGACACGACTTCAACTGAATTATAATGTTTCTCTCTGTCTGTTCAAAGTATAAATAAGCAATATTAAAATAAATAAATTTTAAAAAACAGTTTTAAATGTAGTCTTTTAATAATTTGACTGTATGCTTTTAAGTAAGTACCAACTGTTGATACACAGGCAGGTTTAAACCTGTTTATGAATGTGCTTAAAGACATATCATTATACACAATCATAACTATGTTACAGTGCGTTATCAAGTATCCATAACCATATCCACCAGTTAGAGGTATATTTTGCTCTGACGTCCCTGTTAGCTACATGTTACTGCACCGCTAATGCTAGCGTCTTCTACATCTGTTAGCTAGTGAGCAAAAGAGTTTATTTTTTAAAATTTTATTAGCAAGTCAAAGAGTAAACACGAAGTCAGTCAGACATGGTGGTCGGGAAATAATGGGCTCCTGTCTTTAAATATGTAGCCTACTTAGTGTGTGTGAGACAGTGACCTTTTGGTCAAAAATTTATTACTCAACATTATTTCTAAAAAAGTGCACTGACGTACCTCTAACAGTTTGATAATCCCACTTTGCTATCTAAAAAGCTCCCAAACATGAAATGTCACAAGCACTCTGAGCACAGATGAAAGTTATAACTCTGTGTTCCTGATATGACTCAGTGAACGGAGGATTTCACACTCCCACATTTTACATTTCTGGACATTCATTTTCATACGGTGTAGCATTCACCCAACTTTTCAGTTGCTCAGTTCATCAGCACCCACTTCAGACTGCTGTATCACAACTGCTCGACTTTCCACTCTCCAGAGACACTGCTTGTTAGTTGATTTGTGTTCACATGTCATGCAAAGGAGTATCGGCTTTTACGCTCTGTCAGGTTTTCTTTGTCAGGTTTTAATTAGCCAGCTCCTCTCACTGTAGGCTACCTTAGATTACTTAGTTTAGCAATTATTGACGCTGGAGAGAAATCCAAATTTCCCCTGGGCTGCATCCTCATCTGTAGTGACTAAGCTGTTGTCACTAAGCTAGCGGAGAGTAAACAGCTCTAGAAATGAGGAACCTCTGGGATGCTCATTTCAAATCTTTCTGATGCAGCTAATTAGCATCAACTCAGCGCCATCACACTGTCACTATCTGTTTCTCCCACACATAAACAGGCATCACAGTCCAAACGGAAGTGAGCATCAAGCCATATTAACTTTTAATAAATGTTTCAGGCTTTGTTTCTCTTCATTTTCCTGCTTTCGTTTTCAGATTTTGCTGTAGTATGCTGAGCTTTTCTCTGTCATGCCAGATAATGAATTTCATCTGAAATGGCTCTAAGAACAGTTTAGAACAAAAGCTCAGTCCCCAGCTTTTGTTTTAATGCGGAGGAGTAAAAAGCTTTTCACAATATGGATTATCTTCCTAAACAATCCATAAAGATTTGTCTCATTTGTATAATCTTTATGCCTTCACAATCCTCTATTCTCCTCTGTGCTTCCTACTTTTTCATTTTAATGGAGTGGGATGGGGAAAGTGTAATATAGTCTCAGAGGCAGCTTTGTGATAAATTCAGGACGTCTAATCTGAAACTTTCCGGACAAAAACAAATGGAAAATTGGCCACAGTAAAAATACATTTGCAGGATCTGTGAAGCAGTCATCTGTGGAAACCTGATTATGTCCAACTGTCCAGCTATTTTTTCTCTTTACTTTAAGGGCAAATATTGTGGAAACTTCCTCTTACACAATAATTTTTCTGTAGATTTAAAAAAAAAAAAAAAAAAAAAAAAAAGATTCAAGACCTGCTTGCAAAATGATGGCCGCCCTTTAGCATCATTAGCAATGTACGGAAGCACATTTCTGCCTAGAAAAAAAATATGCATGAATGCCTAGGAATACTCATGGTAAATTTAAGAAAATCATAAGATCTATATCAAAATTAAGATATACTGAGTCAACATTTTGACTTATTAAGTCAAAAATATGAAATATTAGGCAAATATTATGAGTCGACATTTTGACTTTTTGACAGTTTTTCATTTTCTCGTTTCATTTTGACTTAGTATGATTTTTTAAGTTAAAATTTTCTGTAACACTTGAAAGTATCTACATAAGGGTGACATGACACTGTCATAACTATGACATGACACTGTCATGAACTTGTCATAAACATGATGTACATGTCATAAACGTTTATGACTGCTGTCATTAAGTGTCATTCAGTTTTTGTAATGACAATTTGACATTGTTTGGGTTGTCTTGATTATGACAACTTGACATTAATCAAAGTGACATTACCAGAAGTTGTCTTTGTCATGACAAGTTGGCATTAAATTTGTTTGGGACGTCCTTATAATGACAACTTGACATTAATTAACATTGTCATGACAGCCAGTCTTATCCTTCATGATATCTTAATGACAAATCAAAATGGTACCACTTTACTTGAGGTCAAAGAATTTATTCATTACACTGTCATAATGATGTCATGACAGCCAGTTTTGTGTCGTATCCTGGCAGACATCTATCTGACCGAGTGTTAGAATCAGTCTCTAACCTTGGACATCTAATAATCATATATGTCATTATATCATTATGTCAACTTGTCATAAACACAAAAAGACGTGCATTTCTTGTTAATGTCAAGTTGTTATGACAAAGACATTTTCTGGTAATGTCATGCTGGTTAATGTCAACTTCTCATGACAAAAACAACTTCTGGTAATGTCACTTTGATTAATGTCAAGTTGTCATAATCAAGACAACCCAAACAATGTCAAATTGTCATTACAAAAACTGAATGACACTTAATGACAGCAGTCATAAACGTTTATGACATGTACATCATGTTTATGACAAGTTCATGACAGTGTCATGTCATAGTTATGACAGTGTCATGTCACCCTTATGTAGATACCTTCAAGTGTTACCAAATTTTCATTCTGTACCTCATATTTTAACTTACTTTCTCATGCGAAAGTGCAATACTTTCTAAGATCTGGACTTAGGTTCTATTAGCATGGGACCAGTTTTACCTGGGGATCTTTAGTGATTTGTAACCATTGGGGAAGTTGTCTGTGATCTTAATCCTGTGTGAATCTGCCATGTCCGTAATTTGTCGAGCAGAAATTCCACTGCAAACTACTGGCCATATTTCGCCACAGGTCATTTGATAATGTTCACCTGGTGTGAATCGCCATCTCAGTAATTTTGGATTATATTTAGTTTAGTTTATTTATTCATTTCTTTCTGTGCCTCTTTCCTGACTGAGAATTATAAAGGCTGTGTTGACAATTCTAGAAAAAGGTTTTCACAGTATTTTGGGTACAGGAGGCTCATGTTACTACACAGCATGGGGACCAATTTGCAGAAATGGTAAACTCAAATCCATCGGAGGAGCGACATCTCCAAAGGTGATGAGAGGGACGACATATAACAACGTGTGGCAGAATCAATTCTGTTTGTTGATTCCACATTTAAAAAAGAAGAAAGGAAAGGTTAAGACTAAACATCGCTGCTAGTTGTGCTGGAATGTCAATAATAATGTCAGTAAATTTGGGTAAAATACAGACTTCATCTATCCCATGTGAATGCGCTGCATGAAACACATAAAGACAAAATTGTCACTTATTTTCCCAAAATTTTGATCTAGTATCTCAGACCTTTGACTTACTGTCTCAGAATGTTGACTTGTTATGAGTTTTTTTTTTTTTTTTATCTCTATAATTTGTAACATTTCAATGAATTTCTTGGGGTGGCTGTGGTTCAGGAGGTAAAGCAAGTCATCCACTCATCAGGACATCAGCGGTTCAATCCCCGGCTCCTCCAGTCTGCATGCTGAAGTATCACTGGGCAAGATATTGAAACCCATGGGTGAATGTGTGAATGTGACATGTAGTGCAAAAGCGCTTTGAATGGTCAGAAGACAAATGCAATATTGTTTTCTATTAGCTTCTATAACTATGCATCATTGCAGACGTGTACAATGCCCACACACATACTAACATGCTTGTTTTTCACATGAAAGGACGACTCTGACTTTGGTCTCAGCCATGGTCTCATTATTCAGTAAGGGAACTTGTAACAGCTAAAGAGCCAGAGAGCTGGTTGATGATAAGACCTGTGACTACAGCTCTCAGGCTTTATGAAAGAACTGGTAAAGCCTGATGAAATACTGTCTTTGTTCCTTCCAAAGTCTTTTAAGATTTTTTTTTACACAATTTGTAAAAAGTTAGCCAGCTGATGATCCATAATGGCCTTCACTGATGGTGAAGACTCAAATCTTTCAGTGACAGCTTAACACCTACATTAACCTATTTGCTTAAGTGCTTAAATGCTGTCTACTGAGGCAAAGACTCATCGTAGACTGAGTGAAATGACCAAAGAGCCAAACCAGAGCAGTCCTTTAATGCTAAACCAGTCCTGAGGGACTGCCACCTCCATATATTCATCACATATGTCGTCTGTTACAGGGAAGCAGGAGTGCTTCTCCAGCCAAACGCTGAAGTCCCTCTCTACAACCCCTTCCAACAGGACGAGGGCAGATGTTCAAGATCGTGGGACTTAAGTGGGGAAAAAGAGGAAGAAAAGGAGGAAATCTTGTCACCCCTTAAACTCACGTTCCCCTCCACTTGTGATAACACTCTAACTTACGCTAAATCCCTCGTCTCCCCTATTACCTCCCCACCCCTTTGGCTGGTAGATAGCGACACAATCTGTTGCCCCCACCCTCCCCATGCATGCGTTGTGCTGAGTCTGTGCAGTCATCATCATTAGCGTGAACTTTTTGCTGAAAGTGATCCCGAAGCCGCTCACATGTGTAGCCCGAGTGACCCTCCCCCCCTTCTGCAATGGCTCTCTATACTCGTGCTTGAGTTTCTGTGGACGTCTTCCAAGATTCCTCTAACAAAATGGTGGCTAAACCGAAGCACACCTGGAGCAGTTGAAGGATTAGGGCCGGTGCGAGTCCGACTGACTCAACCGTCATTGCCGCTTGCTGATTGGATGAAAAGGCTGGGTTGTTTCTGTTTTTTAAAAAAGGAGCGGTTTTCTGTCTCGTCACACTGTCTTCGTCATTCCCTTGAACCTTTCCTGTAAACCTGTGTTTAACAGATTTTGCATTTTTACGAGAGCCATTTGGTCGCAGTGTGTTTTCATTCAACCTTTGTGTGTGTTAGCTGTAGTTAAGTGTCCTGTCATTGATGTGATGTTGATCTATGTTTGTCATTAGGGCCTAAGGCTGGCTGTGGATTTTTTGTGGTATAAATTTAATTTCTAAACCTTCTAAATCATATTTTCTGCAATAGTCACTGAGAAAAATAAATAAATTAGTCATTTCTAATGTATTTCTTTTTCAGTCCAAGAGATAATGGTAAACACTAATTCTCCTGTCCGTATATATCTAAGTAAATAATTTCGTAGTGCACTGTTTTCCACTTTTAAAAGCTGCCAGACTCTGAATCTGAAGCTGATGTTGGTGCTGCAGCATGATGCCAGATTCAGACCTTTCCTCTTTGCTTCAGTGTAGTCTAGGTCACTCCTTTGTCTTCTCTGTTTCCATCTCACGCACAGCACACATACTGTAAATTAAATTCAACCCTTCGCTCAACAAGTGCCTTTCCTCCTGACTACCAAAACAATGTGCTGTGTTCCCTTCTTGTGGATAATTAAAACAACACAATTTCAAAAAGGTGCTCTGTAACTAACTCTGTAGTTACACATTAAAACGGTTTCTTGGGAATGTGTCAGTTGTCAGTTTTCTGGAGGAAAAAAAAAAGAAGCTCAGCACTACCACTTGTGCTGTTCAAAGCATCCGTCTTCCACATGTTACAAAGCAGGCGTGTGTTCATCTCTCCCACTGTTTGTGTGTGCTTGAGCCTCGTGGGTGCTGTGTAGTGTTCCTCTGAATGGACCCTGTGGATGAATGTAAAGATCCTCTTCATTATTGTATGTGTAATAAAACATGACCAGCCACTTAACTGAGAATAAAAAATAAAAATTATAAAACCAACTCTACTCTCCGTGTTGTGCAGTGTGTTCCTAACCTTAACGGCAAATGACTCATCGAGCTGAAGTGATGTTATTGGGTCACAGCGTCTCACCAGGCAAATGTACAACGTAGTTTCTTTCACAAAGCCAGAATTCATGACTCATTTGGTATTCATCACTCATGCCGAGCTTTCCAAGCTACTCATGACTGAAGCGACTGGAGCACCATTCAGGCTTAAGTACAATCACGCAGAGTATGCGTTGACAAAAGTTACAAAGGCTGGCTGTGAATGAAACACACACAAAAGAAATTATTTTTGACTAATATTTCATTGCAAAACATTTTTTATTTCTTTTAAGTAAACATGTTCTCCCGCATGATTTCTGTATTGACTGCTTAAACATGAATGAGGGGAATGTTTACTGACATGTCATCGCTAAATAAGCACAGTGACGTACACTTGTTTGTTTGGCCGCTGCCTTAGAAAAATTGAGCAAGATTAAACTTTTTTCCTCCGATGGGTTTACATTTTCTTGCCAGAGCCCTCTGTGCTGGCAGCACCGCTAGGCTGGCTTCATTCAAATGCATAGGGAGGTTGTATTTTTTCACGCAGGGCTGAAGTCCATTTGAATGTCAATTTGTCACCTTAAAATGACAAATTGTGATTTTATGAGCCGAGCCAGCTTGCTGTTTCCCTCTAACTCCAGCCTGTATGCTACACAATGCCCAACTGGGCCTGGCCCGACCCACCGGGTTTGAGAGAGGGGAAGTGATGGAACAAGTGGATAACCTGGGTATAGAGATAGAGCGTGTCTGAGTGTTGGAAAGGGAGAAGAAGAGGGAGAATGAGGGGCTGCAAGGTGACTTGGTTGGCAGTGTTTGCCTCTGCTTCCCCAGCAGTGGGAGAGAGGTGCGGGACATGCAGCAAAGAGAGATGATCATCTGCACACCACATCCCCGTGAGCCGCTGTGGGGGGGGGGCAGCCCGCTCTGCTGAATCTGTCATGCATGAGACTACAGACTATTGAAATAAGGAAGAGAGGGAGAAGTGGTGTGAATAAACATGTCAGCCCTTAGCTTGTGATAAATGTTTTAATATTTAAAAAAAATTACAATATATTAAATATTAAATGCATGTTTTCTTACAATAGAAGTTCGGGTTTTTAATCAGGCTTGGGCCAAGAACTACCACTGTGGGTCAGGCTTGGGTTGGGCTTGGACAGAAACTGTGCGGGTTCATGTAGGGTCAGGCCTGATTTTTTTTTTTTTTTTGGCCCAATCAGAGCTCTACTTTGGCTACAAGCTAACATCAGCTCGTGGCCGATTTCTTTATATGGTCATCTGCTCCAGGGACACAACTGCCAGTGTTTGGTTTATGTAGCCCAAACTGCTACATGTAGCTACATGCTATCATCAGGGAAACATGTAAACTTAGTCACTGATGATGTAAATTTCTCCCCGATTTCAGATCATATTCCTACTGGAACATGCCTGGTTGTGTTACCGATGATTTTTAATGGGAGAGAGTGCTGCTACACACAATCATTCCCCGGTTGCAAGTACTTGACTACATGTAGCTACATGCTAACATCAGGGAAATGTGTAAACTTGGTTGCTGATGTTGTAAATTAATTCCCAATTTCAGATCATATTCCTACTGGAACATGCCTGGTTGTTACTGATGATTTATAATGGGAGAGAGTGCCGCTACACACAGTCATTCCCCGGTTGCAAGTACTCGACTACATGTAGCCACATGCTAACATCAAGGAAACATGTAAATTTGGTCGCTGATGTTGTTAATGTCGCCCCAATTTTGGACCACATTCCTGCTGGAACGTCTTGTTTAGAAGCTTTTATCGGTGATATGTAAGTTAAGTGCCGCTATTCTCTGTTATGGTCATTTCCCAGCTGCAATGACAGCAGAGAGATGCAGAAATCACGGAAATGCTGACCAGTCAGAGCAGGCTGTGCTTTTCCGGGTAGGGGCTTAAAGAGACAGGATGTACAACTGAGGGTGAACGCAGGTGTTTCAGCACAGACAGTGTGAGGAAATGGTGTTTTTTAACCATTAAATCATGTTCTAGTAGAAACCTTAAATGCAAGTATGAACCTGAAAATAAGCACAAGACGTCCTCTTTAACATCCATGTTTGTTGGCTTGCTGTCTTCTTCCTTGCCTTTGTCAGGCACTTTGTTATGCTTCTTTGCGCATTACTGCCACAAATGTCAATTTGTAAAACAGCGTGAAACCCGCTGCAGGCATGTTTTATCGCCCACATTCTCACGTATGTGCACGTGTCTTCATGATACAAAAAAAACCAGGGACCCCCCTTGTGAAAACATTGTTTCTCTGCAAGGTACTTTTAACATGGACATGAGATTTGTATTTATCATGTCATCTAACTCACAGTGAGAAAGTGAATAAGCAAATTTTCTAATAAGAATGTGAAACTATTTGTTTATTAGGGAGAGGGGTAATAAAAGGAACAATAAAAACAAATGCAAGTTTAAATTAGTAGAAAAATTACTTTAATCTTCTTAATTTATTATGGACAATAGAAAATACAACTGCAAAAAAAAGGGGGAAACAAAAGCCTTACGTCTGTACAGTGGCTTTGCTTCATTACAAATGCAACATTATGCTCAAATTACATATTTGCAGCCCTCCATGTTCTGGAGGTTCATCAGAAAATATACGCAATCTAACTACACTATTTACAGAGTGAACTACAGTGAAACAAAACGTCTGTGCTGTGAGTCTAAATGATATGACAACAGGAAACACAACGCTGACATGTTCAGTCAAAAAACTCGTACAGCATCAAATCCAGGAAGTGCTGCTCTTCACTAACCTGTGGTACACTACTCTGGGCACTGTTTTCTAACTAAAACAAACGTGACGAACTGCAAATGACATGTCACTTCAAGATGAAATATGTACAGTATAAATATGTTAAAAAAAAAAAAGTGACAAAAGTCTTGTAGACCCGTGAAAAAAAGCTTTCTATGTTATTTTTACTGAAGCTGTCACAGCAGTACAGTTGTTTGCAGCTCTGCGTACGTCCCTGTGAGCACAACAATAATGAGGGAACAAGATGCTCGTCTCTGGGGAGCTCTTTCACAGAATACGGTTTCCTTTGTTTCCAACAAGGTCAGCATGAGAGGCACCTGCATCTCCTGGAGATGACGGGAGAATTCTCTGGGATGCCTGTGTTTATCGAGCCAAACCTCTCCGGAGGTTATCGTATTGATGACAATCAGACAGTAGCAAAACAGATAAAAGTCATTAAGCCAATCACAGGGAACCAGACTCCCCTTACTTCACTGCTAATTTGGATAAACAGCAGGGGACTGCTGCTGGGGTAAAAGCCCTCGGTATACTGTGGAGCAAATCTATAAAGTCAAATCTTTTTCTAACCAAATAAGCTTTCTGAGAGGAGGAAAATGTTTGGCGAAGCTTCTCTGTGCAGATGTAAAACTCAATCAGTACTCGGTACACTGTACAGTGCTGTCTGACTTGGGGGTCGGTGTGGTTTGTGGTCAGGGGAAGACAGTGTGCCAGTCTCCGGATGATTCAGGAACCACCTCTAGGTCAAGTTCAGGTGTTACCTCGACCTGGGCCACTGATTCATCCTGGCTCAGGGACACATCTTGGATCTGACCTGGAGGGAGAAAATGAACAGTGAGAAGCTGGTTTGCATGACTGACGTGCAGTTAAACACTCCTTGAGATAGGTAATAACAGAGCTTTGTAAACCAGAGGGAAAGCCCATTAAAATGCATTTACAGAGCAGCAGCAGCAGCTCAGATTCTGGATTCAATTTGCCAGTGGCTGTCATGCAAATGAGACCATTATTCAAAAAGCAATCTTCCTCTCCTCATTCCTCTACCATTTGTTTTAATATCTCACATTCTCACTTGCTTTTATGAAAACACCACGTCTCTTACACAAACTATATAATAAGAGCTGACAGACGTGGAATATGCTCATTGTGAGTTGGAAATACGATATGAGCCATGCGTCAGAGTACATTCATCTTAAAATAACTTGAGCACAAAACAACAATAAGTCACTTTGGCACAGGCTGAGAGGTTCAGACACGCTTTTTCTGCTGCTGCAGGCCACGTGCTAAATTGAGTTTTATAGTGAGAGTCATTTAGTTATCTCCCTTTATTTTTGCTCTATATCTGAAACACTTCAGCCACAGATTCATTAAGTTGCAAGTGCCCGACTGTGCGCCTTGAAATCCTCCAGCATTTTTCACAAGCGATGTGACTGTATGAGAGTCTTCCTCTGTGATGCTGACAAATGTATACTGAACAAAAATTTTAACGCAGCACTTCTGTTTTCGCTCCCTTTTTTCACAGACTTAACTTGAAGTCCTAAAACTTTTTTATGCACTCAATAGATTTATGTCTCAAATTTTGGTCGCAAATGTGTTAAAATCAGTGTTAGTGAGCACTTCTCCTTTTCCAGGTCAATCCATCTACATGAGAGGTGATTCATACCAAGATGCTGATTAAACAGCATCATTACTACACATGTGTGCCTTGGCAGAGTCACAATAAAAGGTGCAGTTTGATCACACAACACAGTGCCACAGATGTCGCATGTTTTGAGAGAGCGTGCCATTGGCATGCTGACTTAAGGACTGTCCACCAGTGCTGTTGACCGTGAACTGAATGTTCATTTCACTATCATAAGCTGTCTCCACTGTGGTTTTCATTATTTGGCAGTACATCTAACCGGCCACACAACCACAGACCAGGTGCAGCCACACCAGCACAAGACCTAGCGTCTTTACCTGCAAGATCATCTGAGACTAGCCACTCTGACAGCTCATGCAATAACTGGTTAGCACAACCAAAGATTTTCTGCACAAATTGTCAAAGATGATCTGCATATTTGTCGTGTAACAGCAGTTTCTTGTCGTAACCAACTTGTACCGGTGTGAGGCTGGTTGGATGCACTGCCAAATTTAGGGAAACAACACTGGAGGCTGCTTATGGTGGTGAAATG